AATGTTTGAAACGTTTGTGTCATAGAATTAATTAATTTTAACGTATCCTTTATTATTTCTGCAGTTCTGAGTGAAACAGTATATTATATTAATATTGGAACTAACCTGTTTTGCTGGTAATGGTTTTTATAAAAACGTCACATCTCTGGGAGTCCACTTTTTTTTAAATTTTACTTGGAGCCCTTTGTTTTAATATATTGGTACAATGTTTAAATCCCTATGATTTACTCATAATAAATACACTGACAAGCAAAATATTCCGCCAACTTGTAATATAACTTGATTTGTATGTATTTTTATATATTAATCAAAGTATCACGTTTTTTAAAGTTTAATAATTGAGACTTTGTTTAAAAAAGTTAAAAATACATAAATTGTTAAGGAAAATGAAAAATAGAATAAAAATAAAAAAATAAAAAAAGACGGAAAGATAAAATTTGTTTAACTTGGTTTTAGATTTTTAATTAATATTGCAATATCGCGTATTTCCTCCTCTTGCCTGGAATTACATCTCGAAGACACCACGGCATACTGTCTTCCAGTCTGGAAATGCCTCTTTGCTGGAGGTTAGCCCATTCTTCATGCAGAAGCGTTTCAAGATCGTTCGATGCGGTTCAAGTCTGGAGAACGGGCTGGCCAAGCGTTCAGACCCTGATGCTGTTGAAGGTACGTTTATACTATGCGAGCGACATGTGGACGGACATTATCGTGCATTAGAATAGGATTGCCGCTGATTTCATCAGGCAACGCGTGATGTTCTAAAATGTCATCCACATAGCGACTGGCCATCAAAGACCCTCCACGAACAACAACCAACTCTGTGCGACTCTCCATTGAAATTCCCGCCCACACCATCACGAGCTACGTTGAAAAGCATCAAGTGGCAGTTTTAAGTTTAAAAATTGAAATTAACAAAACAAAGATGAAAAATTAATAGTTATTGCTTCAGATTTAAAATGATACTGAATAATCCTTTTAAATTCAGTAAAAATTAAACATTGGAAAATTCTTTATCCATGTTTTGGATTAAGTAATAAGTATATTTACATTTAATTGATATCCCCAATTTAAAACATAGCATAAACAAATATTAATTGATGAAAATAATAAGACAAATTAAGGACAGAATTTTTTTTTATCGAGAACACTAACAAAAAAACAGTTGGGTGACTTTTTTGCCTGTCAGTGTTAAAATGTTCTGTTTTAGAAAATTATGACACAGGAAAATTATTATTGTTTATACTGTTTGAGTTTAAAACATCATATTTATTTTACAATTAATTAAGATTTTTAGTTGAGACGAAAAAATGTTAATGGCATGAGAGGGATTCGAACCCACGACCTTCGGCTAGATACGCCGCTGCTCTACCACCATTTTCGTCTCAACTAAAAATCTTAATTAACTGTAAAGTATTAATTGGTCAAGCGGACTACGAAATTAGTGAATTTAATGAATTAAAATGAAGTACACTTCACTAAAGCTCTCCCGTCGAGAATCCAAACCGATTACACGACATTTGAAAAATGGCAAAAGGAGGGAAAACTCATAAGGTGGGGTTGAGATGGGGAGTTGATGTCCGAGTGGATCGAGGTCACGATAGCTCAGGTGGGAGAGCAGCGGCGTATCTAGCCGAAGGTCGTAGGTTCGAATCCCGCTCGTGCCATTAACTTTTTTTCGTCTCAACTAAAAACCTTAATTAATTGTTAAGTATTAATTGGTCAAGCGGATCACGAAATTAGTGAATTTAACATCATATTTACGTTTTTCTCAATAGTTTACCTGTTAATAGCGCTCAACTGGTTTATAAATGGCTGACTCAGTTAATCTTTTGTTATTAATTTTTCATTTAAGAAGATGAAAAAGATACAATGAAATAAATTAAAAGTTACTTTGTCCTGTTCTTTTTTGGTTCAACGCTTTTTTTTTAAATTGATAATTATTTTTTCCCAATGATTTTTTCTTTTTCAGGGGCGGGCTTTTAGCATACCTGAGCAAGCGTTTTAATTTGTAGAGGGCATAAAGCAAATGATTCCGAACAATAGCGGCCCGGTGTGTTATCGTCATCTGCTGACGCATGTTAACCGGATCCCCCATTTCAGACAATATTGAACGGAATGAAAGAAAGTACGTGAAAAAATGCTATTGCGGGTGAATTCCTCGCTTTCCTATTGGAAGTTAATCGGTCGAATATTACTCAATAACTGTTCAGAAAGACAGAAATAATAAATGTTGAGCCTAAATTAAATTTCTGAAAGTTCAAATAATTCCCCCTTCGATTAGTGAAGAGCCGAACTTGCTTATAGAATAACTTTCTACATCTTTAACTATCGTAGGATTTTTACAGAAAAAAACGGATAATAGGCAGATCAAATTTAATTGGTTCAGATTGCTGCGAGTGGTTTTTTTCTTCGTCTCTCGATGATACAAACCACTTGAAGCTGAGTGGTTGTAATTGTGTTTCGTGTCCTATTACAAATGGCCATTATCCAAGCCACAACCATTACCGTCCTTTTTCGTTAATTTGTTAGTTCGGGAACGACGAGAAGACAGGACTGCCTTTATGGCCTGAAAAGTGGAAGAATGAACTGTAACAGGCGTTTAAAAACATTACAAAATGATTTATTCGGTGCATAAGTATATAACTAAACATGGAACGATAATTTTTTAAACTTTGTGAAAGATTTTCAAAACATTTTGAAAAAGTTATTGATTGGTTGTGAGATTTACTCATGACGTGTGCTGTGCGATGAAGCAATTTGGCCGTTTCCATTGTTAGCGCTTTCTCTCATTTTTTGTATGCCAAACACGTTTCAGCATATCACGCTTTTCAGCAGTTAGCCTGTATGTTGCTTGTTTAAAATGATCGATATATTTTAAGGTCATCATTAGGGCAAACAAAATCCTAGAATTTTCTACAAATTGACATATTTAATTTTTAATAAATAGTTTCAAATTGCGTTGTACTTAATTCTTAATTTTTTTTTTTTGCCTGGGGCTTCCGACATCTATGTCCTTTCAGCCCCCAACTAAGTATATATTCTATTTACCCTTTCAAACACTACATTCATACAAATAAATACATACATACACATAAATACATCCGTACCGTTTGGTCGGTGGAGTATTTGATATTCCTCCACAGACCTACCCTCAAACTAATCTAGATTGGGATCGAAGGAGTACTTTTATAAATAGTTGAAATACTATTCTCAATCTATCTATCAATACTGATACAGTCTTTGGCAATGTTGGGACTGAGTCGGTCTTCTAAATTAAACCTTCTATTAAAAACTTAATTATGACAATTTGTAGACATCTTCAAGATTATTTTTCTCTTATGAAGACCTTAAAATATATCGAAAGCTTGGCAGATAAAAATGTTTTTCCATCCAACCATACGGAGATTCAGATTATTACATGTGTTATTTTACAAAGATTTACAGACTCCAAGATGCTTAGGGTATAATTATAAAACTGTACAGTATTAGTATTAGAGAATTTTCTAAGGATAGACAGGTTTGAAATCGAAAAACGTTCTAAATAAATTGCTTTAAAAAAATGTTTGTTGAAGTTAAACAAGGGTACAACCTACCATATACGTAATCCGTGAAACCTTTTTTAAACAATTTAAACAAGAAGACTGGTAAGAATAAAAAATTTGTAATAATAAACAATACATCTGCAATGGTGTAGCCTGGACCCATTCGTCAACTCCCTCATAAATCAAGCCTTCAGATCGATACAAGCCGGCGTCCCACAAGGGAGCTTTCATGGTCTCATCCTTTATATCATTTATAACGCTGACCTACACGCCCTAATACCATCATCACCATCATACCGTAATTTTATCCTTTAATTCGAATCCTAACCAACATCCAAGAACTTGAGGTTATCGAAGACTAGCACAAAAAGTGGAGGGCAGGACTGATCGAAGAAAAATGTTCTCAGTGTACGACCACATTGCCCTCAACTTTCTCTGTACATGAACAGCAAAAATACCGATTTCCATGTAAGTCAAATATTTAGGATTTTACCTAGAGAGTAGATTGTCGTGAAATCTTAAGACAAGATACAAGACCCTGTCTAAAGAATTGGACTACTACGGGGACTTCAAGGACCGAAATCTGTCTTGACCATCAACACTATACTGCAAAAAAATGTATTCAGTATACGTTCACTAACAAACAAATACCGACTTGCATTCAATTCAAGTTGTTCGTACTTAGACAGCAAACTGACATCGAAGAAGACCCCAATGATTTTTTCTTTTTCAAGGGCGGGCTTTTAGCATACCTGAGCAAGCGTTTTAATTTGTAGAGGGCATAAAGCAAATGATTCCGAACAATAGCGGCCCGGTGTGTTATCGTCATCTGCCTCAACCGGATCCCCCATTTCCCCAAGACCCCTCTGAAGACTTAAGAGCCAAAAACTCAACAGAAAACTTGTACAACTGCAAAGGTTTCTTGGGCCAAAATCTGACTTGATCGTTAAAACTAAAATAACCTTATACAAGATTTTATTGCAACCTCTTTGGACATCCAGTGGGGTACTGTTATGCTGGCCAACATCAAGCGCATACAATCTTTCTCATCAAACGTACTCAGAAAAAACCGTCAAATTTCCTTACTACGTCGCTAATCTCACTACTCTCAACGACCTCAACATTCCTTTTGTCAACGAACAGATCCGTTTTCGATTCCAAAAGTTTAGACACCAACATCTAGATGCCATTTCCCATTCCGACAACCCGGAACGTCCCCTCATTCGACAATCGACTCGAGAGGCCTCCTTGTCCATTAATCCCCCAAACTAAGTGCCAGCATTGGCTGCTTTCTCTTGACGTGTCTTCTTAGTGCAAGCGCTAGCATTAGTGTTAATGAAGTGACCGTGTAATAACAGTTTTGTTATCACATTTTTAATAGTCCTAATATTCCTAACCATAAAAAAACTCTTATAACCTCAATATACTTCTGGCTTTTAAAATAATGTATGTTTCCAGGTATGCATCGTGGAGAAGAAGGACAACAGACAGATGTACGCGATGAAATATATGAACAAGTGCCAATGCTGGGAGAGAGACTCTTTAAAAAATGTGTTGAGAGAAATCAAAATTCTGACAACACTAGAGCATCCTTTCTTGGTCAATCTCTGGTTTTCATTTCAAGGTAAGTTTTTCAAATTTTGGTGATTATTAATGCCAAGAATATTTATTTTCTCTTTAATCCCTTATCTCTCTATTCTATTCCAATTTATTTATTTCACAAAGTTTCACGTTTTATTTTCATCTAATATAAAATTACGAGAAAGTTGCCATTAGTACAAAGTTTTCTGTACGCTGAACCACGCCGCGTTGCATAGAAGTTCGGACCCGAACTGCTAAGGCTGGCTACACGTTGCGGTTGAAAGTAAACTTACTGTAGGTACGTACAGGTAACGACCTAATACACAGTAGGTAAACCGGAGGTTTTAGATTTATTGTTTGGATCGTAGCTCCTCAGATGTTTTTTCCACGACTGATTCCTCTGATGCGTTCGGCTCCGACTTCTTTAGCTTTATCAACAATTTCTCATAAGCAGTATCTTTCATTGCACGATCATGAGAACCTTTGCTTTTTAAATGCCAGAAGCATGGTTCTAATGAAATAACTAGCCCATTGAGCCTACCTAAATTTCCTCCCCCAGTCCATACAAAAAAATAATACAGTCCCTTAAAATATTTAAATTCACGCATTTATCAATTAATCCTCTTTACACCAAAAGGAGAAGACTAGGCGTGAAAAGACTAGAACAATAATTCTCTCTGATAACTCTGTCCTTACCACGTTCTATCTATTCTCCTTTCTTCAAAATTCATATATTGTTAAAAACAAAATTTTCATTTCACTGTGAATAAAAAATAAGATAGTAGTAAGTCAAAGAGAAATTTAATTTACTTTTATTCCTTTTCTCAGGATCTCTTAAAAGAGTAGTCATACCATATATTTTTTATTTATATTTTTCTCATTCCTTGTATAATAATTAATTCTAGCGGAATTAACATAAATTAATTTTTCTGGGTTTTCATTTTGAAGGAAACGATTTATCCACACTTATTTGATTATTCACTTGATTATTCTCTCTTTACCTGCTTTCACAAGGATGCTGGAGAAATTCCGGAACTTTCAGGGAAGGATGCTCAAACTTCGCTAAGTTTAACCCAAAGCGAGAACTACGTTTTTACACTGGTTCAAGCTTATTATGAAATCTATGAAAAAGGTGTACGAAACTAATTTTTTGGATTCGCACACATTTATGAATAATTAGGTAAGCTAGAATCGAGTTTGGAAAAGGCCCAGAACGGCGTAATAAATTTTGACTCACTCCTCAAATCTACCCAATAGGGACTTGAAATAAATACAATTCAAACGTCTTTAAATGATTTATTTTGTGAAATCAGGAGATAATATCTCTGTGTTTCGTCCATGCATTCTCTTCCCAAATATGAAACAATTTACACAAAATTCAAGTCAAAAATTTATTAATTAAGGTTTTTAGTTGAAATAAAAAAGTCAATGTCACGAGCGGGATTCGAACCCACGATCTTCGGCTAGATACGCCGCTGCTCTACCACTTGAGCTATCGTCACCTCGATCCACTCGGACACTAACTTCCCATCTCAACCCCACCTTTTGAATATTCCCTCCTTTTTGTAATTTTTCAAATGTCGTGAAATCTATTTGGTTCTCGGCGACAAATGAAATAGCCACCGAGAGCTATAGCGAAGGTATGCAAGGTAAAGAAAAAATTTAATATTTGTTACCGATTTTTAGAAACGAGGATTTCAAGTTCACTGTGGTTTCAAGTTTTTATATAAGCCCCTAAAACTTGTCTACTATTCACTAATTGATAGATACCAAAATCCACGTCTACTGGATGCTACTGTCTACTGATATGTGTATAAATGAAATTTTACGTTTTACTTCTGCAATAAACCATTCTCACGCATCATTACAAAATTTTGTAACCGTTCACGAAATGAAATTTGAGCATTAAAGGCGTTGAACCTCCTCACCTTTTTATGAGACTTTTCAATAATTTGTGTCATTTGTGAAAACAAGTGCCGCAATAGATAAACAAAAAATCAATTTCAATATAAACAATAAATTCATTGAATATTTTTTATTAACAATACAGCATAGGCAAACCGAGAACTGAATCCTTTTCGATTTTTTTTTCGTGAAACTTTATCTCAGCCTGGATGTATAAAACTCTTGAAAGTTGCGCCGGAATGAAAGAGGACAGCAATGAAAGCGTTTCTGGAACTTGAGACCATCCAATTGAAAAGTTCGGACTTCCAAAACTAGGTCCATTTTCTCATTAGCCGAAGAACGTGAGAGACAGACAAATGCCAAATGGAACACTGATACTGTAGACGACGGTGGGATAATATATTATACAAAGTGTTGTTTTTAGAGGGTCCGGCTGAATTTCTCTTCAAGCAATGACCCTATCAAAAAAAAAAAAAAAAACTTTTTTCATATTTTTAGTCTTGTTTCAAATTTTTACCTTTTTTTGGAGAAGTGGGGCCCAGTTCAACTTAAAAATTTCAAATACGACCCGTTACATTCTGAGACAACATTTTAAAGATTTATTCAGCTGAAATCAATGGTGCAATAGAATTTTAAATTGGACAAAAAATGACAAAGTTATGCCAAAAAGTTTGAAAAAACTCATTTCATTTGTTTCGTTGTTAATTAATTAGAGTACATGTTTAATTTTATTTTTTGAAAAACCTAAAACCCTTCCAATATTTTGGACAAAAGGAATCGGATTTTCGCGAACATACGGTAGAATATTAAGCTCTTCGTTGAAATTAGGCTGCCTGCTTCTTCGTGATGAAATAGCAACTGATCCGTATCTCCTCATATCGAGAGCAACACGAATTAACGTTTTGCGGTTTACTCTGTGGCGACCAGGTAATTTCTGGGAGTACAACTGCACGACGCGCAACCACCACTATAATTACAGTCGTACATATTGCTCTTCGGTTTATTTAGCTTGGAATACGGATTGTAACGAATAGGTATTATTGTAAAATTTATTTACCTCCAGGAATTAAGATTTGCTCTCATAATGCGAGTTTGGCAAACAATAACAGAACAGAAATTAATGTTTACTTTAGTGAAGAAGAAAATTATTGGAATTAACCACGAAACAAACAAAATGAATTTTTTTGAATATTTACATAACTTTGTAATTTTTGACCAATTTAAAATCCGATTGCGCCAATGTTTTCAGCGTAAAAAGGTAAATAGTTCTTTAAAATGGTGTATCACGATGTATAGGGTCGTATTTCCAATTTTGATGTTGAACTGAACCGGTGACAGCCTGGGTAATCTTTCTACAAAAAAGGTTGAACATGCATTTGAAACTAGATTAAAAAACTTTAAAGTCGTATTTTTTTGCGATAGCATCATTGGTTCTAGAGAAATTCAGCCGGGTCATCTAAAAAGGACACACTATATATTATCATTTTCATCAATACAGTTTCTGTAGTTTTTTATCATATTAATAAAAGTTGACAGACTTTGTCATTTTTTTCAAAAATTTACAATTCGATTGCACCATTGTTTTCAGCATAAATAGGTAAAAAGTCCTTTAAAATGGTATGTCAGGATGTGCAGGGTCGTATTTCAAATTTTGATGTTGATCTGATCCAGAGACACCCTTTGTAATCTTTCTACAAAAAAAGATAAAAAATTTGAAACTAGACTAAAAAAAATTAAAGTCGTATTTTTTTCGACAGCGTCATTGGTTCAAGAGAAATTCAGCCGGGCCATCTAAAAAGGGCACCCTGTATATTATCCTTGTCATCAATACAGTTTCTGTAGTTCTTTTATCATAATACAAAATAATAAAAGTTGACAGACTTTGTCATTTCTTTCAAAAATTTACAATCCGATTGCACCATTGTTTTCAGCGTAAATAGATCAAAAGTCCTTTAAAATGGTATGTCAGGATGTATAGGGTCGTATTTCAAATTTTGATGTTGATCTGATCCAGAGTCACCCTTTGTAATCTTTCTACAAAAACGGTAAAAAATTTGAAACTAGACCAGAAAACATTAAAGTCGAATTTTTTGCGATAGCGTCATTGGTTCAAGAGAAATTCAGCCGGGTCATCTAAAAAGGACAGCCTGTATATTATCATTTTCATCAATACAGGTTCTGTAGTTCTTTTATCATAATACAGATTAATAAAAGTTGACACATTTTGTCATTTTCTGACCAATTTAAAATCTGATTGCACCATTGTTTTCAGCGTAAAAAATGATGTGTCAGGATATATAGGGTCGTATTTGAAATTTTGATGTTGAACTGGGCCTGAGGTACTCTGTATAATTTTTCTGCAAAATAGGTAAAAATCTGGAATTAAACTAAAAAATAGTAAACAATTTTTTTATAGGATCATTGGTTAAAGACAAATACAGCTGGGCCATCTAAAAAGGACACCCTGTATATCTACGATCAACAGGCTACCAGGGATTAAGTTGTTAAGTATAGGGTGTAAAAATGATTTGAAAAAAATTATTTCTCCAAAAAGTATATGTTTTAATAAATGGACAACAGAATTTATTTACAGAAATCTCCTCATCGAATATCAAGAAAAAATATAAAAAATTAAATTATTAACCAGAAAAATTATACTATATAACAATGATTCTTTGGAGATCGTGAGATACGGTCTGGTGTTACCTAGGTTTATAAAAACATTTTCTGTATCGTGCCAACGTTTCGAGCTTTATTGAGCTCATCTTAATTAAAGATCGAAACGTAGTTACTTTATGTTTTTCTAAACCGACGTCACACCTGACCGCATCTCACGATCCCCAAATAATCATTAACTCACGGTCACTAAACACACACACACCTAGTTAACAATGTTTGCACTGGCGTAAACAAAGACTCATTAACAGTTTATTATTGACCTTCAACCTTTCATATGGATTAGGATTGCTACGCTATTTCTGTATTACTTTATCGGAAAAATTTTTTTTTGTAGAAATGGAAATAGAAAAATTCTAAATTCCACAATTTATCCGTTCCGTTAAAACCAACTTCTGTAAGAGATGGGTATGAAAGGGACTGCCTTTTTTTAAATTGTAATTGTAACTGTTCGTATCTTGC